GCTGGTCATGTTGGCCAGGTCAGTCATGATCAGGTTGGTCGTGTTGGCCATGTCGGTCAGGTCAGTCATGGTCATGGTGGTCAGGTCAGGTCCGTCACGTTTGTGCTGGTCAGGTCGGTCAGTCATGGGCATCGTGGTCATGGTCGTGTTGGCCATGTCAGTCAGGTTGGTCATGGTTAGGTCAGTCATGATCAGGTTAGTCAGGTTGGTCAGGTTGGCCATGTCGGTCAGGTCGTTCATGGTCAGGTCGGTCATGGTCAGGTCGGTCATGGTCAGGTCGGTCATGGTCAGGTCGGTCATGGTCAGGTCGGTCATGGTCAGGTCGGTCATGGTCAGGTTGGTCAGGTCGGCCAGGTCGGCCAGGTCGGTCATGGTCAGGTTGGCCAGGTTGGTCAGGTTGGTCAGGTTGGTCAGGTTGGTCAGGTCGGCCAGGTCGGTCATGGTCAGGTCAGGTCAGTCATGGTAGTGTTGACCATGCTCGTGTTGGCCATGTTGGTCAGGTTGGCCATGTCGGTCAGGTCGTTCATGGTCAGGTCGGTCATGGTCAGGTCGGTCATGGTCAGGTTGGTCAGGTCGGTCAGGTTGGTCATGGTTGTCATGGTTGTGTCGGCCAGGTTGGTCAGATTGGTCAGGTTGGTCAGGTCGGTCAGGTCAGTCATGGTGGTGTTGGCCATGTCGGTCAGGTCGGTCATGGTCAGGTCGGTCATGGTCAGGTCAGTCATGATCAGATTGGTCAGGTTGGTCAGGTCGGCCAGGTCGGTCATGGTTAGGTCAGGTTGGTCATGGTGGTGTTGACCATGCTTGTGTTGGCCATGTTGGTCAGGTCGGTCATGGTCAGGTTGGTCAGGTCGGCCAGGTCGGTCATGGTCAGGTCAGGTCAGTCATGGTGGTGTTGACCATGCTCGTGTTGGCCATGTTGGTCAGGTCAGGTCGGTCATGGTCATGTTGGCCAGGTCAGTCATGATCAGGTTGGTCATGGTGGTCGTGGTTGTGTTGGCCATGTTGGCCAGGT